AAGCCAGGCTAGACATTCAAGAAGTAGAAATGCAGATATGATAAAAACTTAAATCAGACTAAATAAATTATTTATTTATTTCAAATGGCAGGCATTTCGGTAGTTATCATTAGCTCTTTAGTTGACTTCGGGCTTCACAGAGGGGAGGTGGAACATCAAAGTGGGAAAAATGCGACAGGGGGAAAGAAGAGCGATTCACAGATGTAAACGAGGCAGACAGACACAAAGGCAGAGAAAAGGCTAGATGAGTACTGTGAAAGTGGTCGAATATGATATACAGTGGGGTCATGATAGTTTGAAGTCAGAAGTCAACTGCCGATTAATAGACTTTTTTGCTACATGCGTATACGTTGCCCAGGGTGCACCACGTGGAGGTAAGTCTATCGCACACCCCCTAAATAAATTATAAGGGGAAGTGTAGCGACTGAAAAGGATAGATTCCAATCACACAATTTATGCATTATGACTAGCACTCATTTGCAAAGATAATATGTGAGAACAAGGAATGCGGAAGTTAAATGCAATATTTTTTTTGTCCATTTTGGACTCTCGATAGTAATGAGATTGTGTCAAAAGGAGGTGATTATCCGTCCTACAAACTATTTATCACAAGTAAAGTGAACTCGCGCCATTCAAAGGTGAGTTACCTGAATAAATGAAACGGAAGTTTACCTTACCCCAAGCTAAACAAGAACCGACGTGGCACATGCAGTCTTAAAATCACACTAAAATCGCTTGCATGCTCTTGTCTTTGGCATGTCGACAAGGGGGGGTCTTTCAACTTACAAGTGGTATGGAAGAAATTTGTAGTGCTAGAATTGGTGAAAAACAATCGGTTCCATTGAAACCATTGTTATACGCGAAAAAGTGGAATAGAACACACAGAAAGTGAGATGTTTGAAATTTCCAGTAAATTTCAACCAACTGGAAGATTAAATCTGGGAACTGGAATTTGAGGAATTTCAGCATAGAATATGGACTTTTATTATTATTATTATTATCATTTCAAATGGCAGGCGTTTTGAATAGTTATCATTTGCCATTTAACTGACTTCGGGCTTCACAGAAGAGGAGGAGGAACGTCAAAGTGAGAAAAATTCGAGAGGGGGAGCAAAAGAGTGATTCACAGATGTAGAAGAGACAGACTTTTACAATAAATTGTTGTCATTGTTGATGAGCGATCAACAGCTACTTAAAGCACTTCTCGATAGTTGCTAAGCCCAGACAGCAGAAGTATCAGACTTTTTGATTAGTACATTTTCCTAATCATAGGTGGAAATATCCACTCAATACCTTGAATGCAAACAGCTGATTCACCCTGGGGATAAAAAGAGAAGCCATTGGTGGAATTATAAACTGCCTCTTTCCAAGGCTTCAAGATGGAAGTAATTGCAGCAATGAGGAGCTTAGGTAACATAACTTATATACCGTTATCACCTCAATGGTGTAGTCTTATTGTTAGTAAAATCAAACGAGCATGAAGCAAACAAAAGCCACGAACATAGTGCTAGTTAAGATAATAAATGCCATGTAAATTATTGGTACATACTAAACCACCTGGCCTCAGCACCAGTGACAGAACTAAATAACAATCGGAAAATCGAAAAAAAAAAAACAATATTTACAAATGACTTCGTGTGACTTGAAAAAGTTGGGTTTCGAGTAATCTAGAATCAAAAGAGATAGTGATAAACTATTTATCGAGAGGTGATCCAAAAGTTTCACTTGGTGGAAGCACATTCAAGCATCACAAAAGTTAAGAGGTCTAATTAAACACGCATAGACGCCAAGACAAGTATAATGAAGATATGTAGGTCAAAGCGAAAAGGCTAAGTTCTGACCTGCCTAGTAAAATAATTATCGATTCTGTTTCCAAACGTTGAACCTCTTGAGAAAGGGGAAAGTTAGCAACAAGTCAACAACACGCAACAATTTATGCAAATAATCAAGAGCGTTTCACTTTGCAATGGTATTAGAAGCTTATCATTTAAAAATCTTATGAGTATCGTGTATGCTATTTATATTTTTATTTTGAACGGTCATCATTAGCCACTTAGTTGACTTCGGGGATCGCAGAGGGAGGAGGAACATCAAAGTGAAAAAAATTCGAGAGGGAAAAAGAAAGGCGATTCACAGATGTAACAGACAGACAGACAGACCCAAAGGCAGAGAAAAGGTTAGGTGAGTACTGTGGAAGTAGTCGACTATGACATACAGTGGGGTCATGGTAGCTTGAAGTTAGAAGTCAACCGCCGATTAATGGACTTTTTTTGCCGTAAGAGTATACGTTGCCCGGGGTGCACCACGTGGAGGTAAGTCTAACGCACACCCTCTATTTATATAACTCCCTAGGCATGCCTTCTATAAGCACTAGGGAGTAGAGACGGGTCTACGAGGTAGGAAACTGGGATCCTGCCACTCTAATGTGGCCCAATGGGTGAGCGCACCGAAGGGCATCATCATCATCAAACCCATGAACACTAACGACTGCACCATCATCAGTAAGAGAGGTCGGGACTAATTAGGTGAGAAGAGACGTACCAATGACTGCTCGCCTTCGCTCAGTCTCCGCCTCCTTTTCAACAACACGCTGATGCTGTTCAGCGATGAGAAGCTTAGTCCTCTCTGCTTCCATGGACTCGTAGTTCCGACGAATATTTTCAGGGATCTTGGGTTTGGTGACACGCACAGCTTGAATAAACAGACCCGGAGCCATTACGAGCAGGTCCTCTTGAAGGGCCTTCTTGAGATTTTCGTCAATTTGATCTATTGACGGAGTAGAAAACGCGTATAAAATCATTAACAACAATAATTGTAAGAGTACCTTACCTCTTGATATAAATAATTTCACTCTAGAAGGTTGAGTGAACAGATAACCCTTGCCATAAAGGTACAAATTCAAGAATATATATCGATTTCGCTGTGAAACGAATCTCATTTATTGGTTATATAGGAAAAGCCATTGACTTGTTTCCAATTTGCGCAGACATATCAGAAACACCATGAATAATGGCTATAATATGCGTTCCAAAGAGGATTCCCTACACTTCTCCATAAAAAATTCTCGCTAGTTTTAAATAAAATCTAAGCAAATAGTTGAGAGGGTTTGAAATTCAATGTCTGATCACGCCTTCGAACTTAGTGCGGTCCATGACAAGCAAGGGATAAATATGCCCTGTAAATAATCCCAAAGCAATGTTCGAATTTTAATCAATAGCTCCTTCGATCTTAGAAACTCTCCAAGTTTATCAAATTGTAGCTTGACTAAACCTTAACCCTAACCGAAATTGTGAAGAATGATTTGAATGCAATTTGAACGCGAAAAAGCGAACCGCTATCAAGTGCATAAACCAACAACTGAATTTAAAAATTTACACGAAGTAGGACTATAAACATCTAACTTTACTTGTAACATCATTCCAATTCCATTATATTTTCATATAGGTGGAAATTTTGTTAGTTCTTGATTTTAAAAAACACTCACACGATTAGAAATTGCTCAATAATTTGGTTTACAATAGGTCAGAAAGCTATAGCAATCGAATTAATACGATACTATCTTCTAAGGAAAATATGGTACATAATATAGCGCACAGAGGGATCAAAATTTTATCAACTATTATAGAGCATAATCGCATTTCTTATGACAATAAGATCTAACAAATATTTTAGTTATTCTTTAAATTATAATTAATCATATGAGTAATACTTTATGAAACTGAGGTCTTCGAGGTCTAAAAAACGACAAATTAGAATAATCAAATTTCCGTTCAATAAGGAACTGTCAGAACTAACCAAAAAGATCAATGTAGACTTCCTGCAAGCTGTGGCTACTGCAGAATTGATTAAGCTCATGATGAACCTTGTTGTAGATGAGAGTTTTGTCATAATCCGGACTGTAATTTTTCACAATATCATAAGCTATACAAGAAAAAAACATTATTTCAAATATTTGTGGAACCCTACCATGATCAGCAGAGAGCAAATTGACAACTTCGATTCTGTCAAAATAGATCACGACGCCACCACTTTATGAGGAAAAAATACTGTCGACTTGCCAAAATTTAAACAAACCTTGTTCCACATGGTACGTTAGTTACTTCATCAGTCTGGAGTGTAACCTGGGAAAGAGAGCAAGCAGTATCTTAAATGTAAACAGAGTGATCAACACCTCCAAACGGAGACAACCTTATAGCTTACTTGAACCTCCTTAAAGGTTGTAATAAACGGGATCATAAGATGAAAACCAGGAGCACTGGTGTCTTTTAAAAGCGCGCCACCGCGGTAGTATACACCTACATGTCCTTCCTCAATCTTATGAATAGAGGTCGCGAGTAAAAGTGCCCATAATACTACAGCTCCAGCGAAATAAGTAATAGCGTTGTTTGGATCATTCATTTAAATGTCTAGATTACAATAAAATATATTGAATTAATAGTTTTAAAATCGAAAAACCTACGTAATTGAGACGTATATGTATAACGACAAATGAACCCAAGGAAAGTCAACGAAGGCCACTAGACCGTATTCGAAAACTGCTCAAAATCATTAAACGTCCTTGAAAGTTCTAATTTTTTTTACAGAATATTTTCGCTAAAATTCGTTAAGAATTTGAAGCATTATAATGCTGCCGAATTTTATTTTAATTATACTGCTTGAATTATTTTCGCTATAAAGGAAAACCTATTTTTTACATGTTTTATTCCATAAAGTGCAACTAAGTTTATGACTTGATACGTTTTCATATGAAATTCTCCTGCTAATTGTCCTAATTGATTCATATGTAAGTCATAATCATATTTACATTGGAATAAGCTCCATTTTTAAGAGCGAATCTTTCCCTCAATAAATGTTGCGTCTTATAAAAATGGTTCAGATTGCTGAGTCACAAAAAGGAATATGGGAACAGAATCGTATCCAGGGCGTGAGGATAAGTCTCAGCAAAATTTAAAGTAACGAATCTTTCAGGTTGATTAATGTATGGCTTACATATAGACATGTTAATGCTCACAAAGTACCGTAAGTTGAATTACTTATTACCTTCCATTAAATTAGGTGATAATTCTTGTTTGATATCAGTTTAATTCGTACGTTAGCCCAACCTAACACAGCTCGATTTATCCAACGATTCCCGTTTCGTTATCTCGTCACTTTCAAAACAGCTAAAATCAAGTAAGAATTTGGATTTTAGTGATCGGTTGATTGTGTTGTAGTCACTGAGGCACAAGGTTCTGGCTCATCTAATTGTTAATTTCGAACTCCTAAATTAGGCAAAATCAGTTGGCCTTATAATTTTCTGCTTTATAAATTTGCTTCTAAGTGCCTTGGAGGGTTAAGCAGCCTAGCCCCCTCATTCTTGTCTTTCTCACTCCAATTGGTGAATTAATTCTCTTTCATTTCCAACATACGAACTCAAGCACAAATATAAGCTGACTGCCTGCATAGTATTGATGACTGCGTACTCGCACATAAGCCGAGTGAGCCACATGCTCATGCACTTGGACCACCTCTTTTACTTCCGTATTAAAAAAGGTCAAAACCGATACAAATTGCCCTTGTTTTGTCATGAATTCCTCGACGAGTAAATCAAACTCCAAACAGGCATTCTTTCACCTCGAAGTCTCTGGTGTTAACACTACCAGCGACCTTGGGCATGCTTCGGGGCCACTATGTTGACTCACATAGACCGATAGTATTCCTAGCCCATTATACTACCACTTCAGTTCCAAATTGGTTAATGGCGTTCACTATAAATGTTCGAACGCAATTTTACCCAAGTCTGATGTCTCAATTTTTACCACACAATTGCCTCTCGCTCCGTCTTCAAAGTCCTTTAGTCCTTCTGCAGAACCCACCCCCCCCNACCCCCCCCCCCCCCCCCCACCCCCCTCCTTTCCACCCCTCATCAAAGTTTTAGCCTTACCAAACCATGTCATGCAACCCCCTTTGCACATCAGCATGCCGTGACCTGAGTTTTACCCAGCTACACTTAAAAACATCGATTGTAAAAACAGAAAAACAAAACAAATACGTGACTAAAAGTCTTTCCAAGGCAAACCCGAAGCATTTTAAATCATTGTAGTCTATTTCAGAATTAACACATAATTTTACAAACTAGCAACACAGTCTGTACACATATGGACCAAAAAGAAACAAAGAGAAAAGGAGAGAGAGAGAGACATACGAGAAATGACAAGATGACGCGGAATTCAAATAAGAAGAGACCTTAGAGAGGATGTTACCTCCTCTCCTCCACTTCGACAACTGCTAATTCGCTTCTGACATGGCAGTCATCATTGCAAAGCTTCCGGTAAACAACCAGCCTCTGTGTCTCCTCCCTTCAGTTGTCTCGACTTTCCCCCAGACAAAGTCTTGCTCTTACTAGCGCAGTTGTTGAAAAGTGCAATCGGTGCGACCAATCCTGCATTCTACAATCAAAAGAAGTATATACACGCGTTCAATCTGTGAGCAATTAAAAGTAAGTAGCTTGCCTACTACAAAGTGTGGCACTTCCTAATGCCAATTATAAACATTGCAAATTGTAGCGAAGTGCAAAAGCTTACCTCCACACGTGGTGCACCCTGGGCAACGTATACTCATACACGGCAAAAGTCTATTAACCGGCAGTTGAATTCTCCCTTCAAACTACCATCACCCCACTGTATGTCATAATCGACTACTTCCACAGTACTCACCTCACCTTTTATGTGAAGCCTGAAGTCAATTAAATGGCTAATGATAACTATCAAGATGCCTGCCATTTGGTATAAATAAAAATAAATATTATCATTGTGGATTTTAACCTTACAAACCTCGGGTGATGAGGTCGCTTTGGTCTTAATTACATAAATCCAACTCATACCCCCCCTCTTCAACTCCTATCAACGAATTCTTCTTCCGACCTCTAGTGACAATCAGCTCTTTCCAAACTACTTCTTTCTCCCTTCATACATGCTACGCCTCCATCCTTAAGAAATACCCTGCTTTCTCACCCCCCCCCCTGTGACTCCTTGATTGATGACCTCTAGTTCCACGTGGAGGCAAAAGAGTTCTACAAACACTTGTACAAACAAGAAAGGTGTTCTGGGGTGGCTTTAAAGAAAAATTCACGCTATTATATCAACTAGAAGCTCGAATTTGACCAGAGGGAATAGGAGCCCACATCACTGAATGCACACCCCAGGGGTCACCGATTTCGTGACCTCCAACTTGGGGGGTGTGCAGGTTGATGACTGCACAAAAGTATTTTCCAAAATCCCAATCGTTGGGGGAAAAACAGCATTATGGAGGCCCCCGTTGGGGGGAGGAGGGACATACTACTTATGAGGACCAAACGAGATATGCATTTGACTCGGCAACGCCAGCTAACAAGAGAAATCCTTACACCATAGATTTTTCTCAACTTCTCCACGGCGTAGACAATGAGCTGATGATTCTCGCGTTTGCTATCGACGTTGTTTGACGCCTGTTTGGCAGACTGCGGTAAGCTGTACTGTTGTTGCACTGCAGAACCACTGTTCTCTTCCGTCAAAGCTGCTAATGTCTTCTCGGAAAGACTCTTGCCAGAAAGACTTGAGGCAACCTAGAAACAAAAATTATTAAATTAAATTAAACAGTCGGATAACAGATAAAGTTAGTACAAATCTGATTAAATTAAATCAAATTGGTAACCGATTCTCAGCCCAGATGGATCAAGAGCCATTTGCAATGCATGATAGATTTATAAGTAGAAAAAATGGGAGGTTTATTGACACCTTAAATCGTCACGGGATTGAAATAAAAAGTCATAAAAGAGGAATAAGGGACCCCCATAAACAGTAAAATTCTTCGCAAAGAGAAATATTTCAGTTATATTACTCAGAGACAAATTTTGGGTGGTTTAAGTCTTTAAAAGAGCGCTTACAGATTCCTAAACAATTTATGACGTAATACCATTCCAACCAAATTCTTAGATGGCAAAGACAACAGCTGAGTGGTTTGGGTGTGTGACATGGTCCAAAAAATGCTGAACGAGAACAACCCGAGGTGTAATAGATAAGTGAACAAAAAAGAGACACGAGTCACCGTATAAGGGGCAATTGACCAAACCTCACAAAGCCACACAATTAAGTGGGGATCAGTATGCGGGAGAGAGAGACTCGACTCGATGATAAAATTTCGGACACAAAAAAAGCAGATTCCTACTATTCATTCGGGAAAGGGATTTGGAACACACCTAAATATGAGGGATAGCAACATGGGACTCGGATTTCATCTTCAACTACTCCCCCCCCCCCCCCCCCCCAAACACGCTTTTAATAATCAAAACCAGTACGGCTCGATCATTAGGCATGCGCACCTCGTGAGCTATGAATTAGCAGACACACCAACGGGCATATTTAAAATTGGTACCTTTTTGTACTGCAGGCCAGGGCAGATGTTTTGTCAACAAAATCGAAAATAGTTTTTAAAAAAATGTATTTACGGCTAGAATGGATTGCATTTTTTTAAGAAGCTGATTCTACCTACTGCGTTAATTTGGAGCCAATAAATTACCCCTATAGGGTATGCAGGTTAAATCAGTAAATGGCAAAATATCTATAAGCCTACACACAATATTTCTGACCTAAAAAGGATTGCACCACCATGGGGTGTTTAACAGATCCATTCAGTGCACGAATGAAAGCAGCAATCACTAAAACGACATTAAATGTGTTCCAAGGGGAGCACATTTTTTTGACAATGATAAAATTTTGAGATAGAGATGACTTCCACATCCGGAACAAGTATATACAAAAAATTTAGACGTAAATACCACGCGAATGAAAAAAATAAGGACGTAGAATGTGAATGACATGCGGAGAGGTCAATATTTAGAAGAGCGATTATTGAATAAACAGTGGTTGTACTCACCAAAAATAATCCATAAAGAGCTCGAACATTGGTTGGATTAAGTCGACATGCGTGAGCGAAATAGGCCCTAGCCAGTTCCAAGTTCTCTACGCCACCTTCAGAATATTTGATCTAGCAAAAGAAGAAGGAGAAATTCAAATATAAAGAAAGGCAAGTAAACACGTCCTATTGATAATGCATCCCACAAGAGATTACCATATCTGCATAAACCTGGACCATTGCAAACCAAAAAAGATAATTGAAACAGACAACTTAACCACCGGAGACATTGTCAACCACCTCCCCCCCNCCCCCCCCCCCCCCCCCCACCCCCAAGTCGCAGTATCCTAAAGGAATTTCATTCATGTTACCCTAGAAAAGGGATATACAACAAGTCCAGATAGAACTGATACAAAAAACTGCCCAAAACTCACTTTCAAGAAGTTAAAGAGACAAGGAAATTGGAAATAGTATATGCGACTAGAATTTGTAAGAAAATGCTGAAATAAGCCGCACAATGCATTTCCAATTCCAAGTGTCACATTCATCCTTATTTTAACTATGAATTATAAAATTAAAAAGATGATATTAATAACACTAATGGTATTAAATAACACCAAAGACTGTGAGGGAGCAACTTTACAATACTCGAATTGGACAAAATAGTAGCATTCCGAAGCCACCGATGGGAGACTTAAACGACCCTAACATTCTTGTTCACCAGTGAACCCCGTCATGCAATTGAAATGGGGGTAATGACACCGTGGGGTCATAAAACTTAATTATGCCAAGTCCACTATGGTTGTCAATCTCCACCTTAAACAAAAACCCATGTCACTAAGAAGGAACTGAATCAAAAAATTTTGCACCCAAAGGACCTAGAAGAAACACAATTATTATTGGAATACCTATGATAATAATTTTCCTGGATCACAAATGTCTTATATCCGCGACTTTATTTCCGGAGTGAATAATGGGGTGTGCGATAGACTTACCTCCACGTGCTGCACTCTGGGCAACGTATATACATAAGGCAAAAAAGTCTATCAATGGGCAGTTGACTTCTGACTTCAAACTGCTATGATCCCACTGTATGCCATATTCGACTATTTTCACAGTACCCACATCACCTTCTTCTCTGCCTCAGTGTCTGTCTGTCTGTCTCTTTTACATCTTTAAAGCACTCTTCTGTTCCCCCTCCCCCCTCGAATTTTTTTTCACTTTGATGTTCCTCCACCCCTCTGTGAAGCCTGAGGGCTAATGATAACTATCAGAACGCCTGCCATTTGATATAAGTAAATAATCGATTCATAATTGAATTTGAGATAGAAAAACCTACTTCTGCAAGGCGTTCGTGCAAGAGATGATTATGAGGATTAGCAAGAATCATCTCCTCCACACAAAAGGCAGCATGCTTGAAATCACCTTGAGCGAGGTACAAATCACTCAATTCGCCCCATGCCTCAATGTCGGCCATGAATCTGTAAGAAAAAGAAACACCCACATCCAAGTGAACTACTACTACTACTACGGATGAAAATAAGAAGATTGTAGTCCAGATAAACTTACAGTTTGAGATACTTGTTCAACTCCTCAATAGCTTGATTGTACAGACCTTGAGATTTGAATATGACTACTAAACGCTTTCGAGCAATCTGAAAGAAAGGCGACCAAAAACATAAATAAAAAACAGAAACAGTGACATTAAGAGCCTATGACAAATTATTAAGAGCAATAGAAGCTATCAACACACCGAGTTATAAATAACAAGGTAGACTAAAGAGAATCAGCTTCGAAACTACAGATGTTAAAGAAGTAGAAAATGGAATGCATATATAAGTGGGACCAAACTTACAATATCAGTGGATTCTGCATCGATTATCTCTTTATAAAGAGAACGGGCTTCTTCAAATCTGCATAATTAAATCGCATAAGAATGAAATCAAATTGAGAAAACTAATGCAAGCAAAATTTCACTAACTGGTTCGATGCCTCTAAAAGCATTCCATGAAGACGTTTTACTCGGACACTTTCAGGAAAGCGTTTACGAAGATGGCTGAGGCAGGTCTGAGTAGAAGTGAAATTAATTAGGACATTATTAAAATAGTGTTTTTCCCTAATAAGGTTAAGACAGTACCTGTGCAGTTTCAAAATCATGTACATCCAGAGCAGCAATGAGAACTTGTTCGAGAACAATCCATTCTAAATGCAATTACATAAAGCATAATTTGACTTAATAGTGGTGTAATAACAGTTTGTAGAGAAGTTTACTCACTTTCTTGTCCCAATCTGTGGAGTTTTGGCTGAAGTTTAGTAAGCCATCTTTCAACTACTTTCGTGCTTTCACGAAGATTATTCTCACGGACAGCTCGCAGATCTTGAAGTGCCTCTGAAATATTGAAGAATGTCAATATTAGTAAGTTTATACATTAGGATGACAACAAAAAGAAACATTAATCTTAACAAACGTCCAAATTCAAAGTAGTGTATATGATAATAAAAAGCGAAGTCTACAAAATATAACAAATCAATCGGAGCTACAACTCACCGTTCATCGTGAGCTTTGGGCAGATATTCACCAAAGTGTTAGCCAATTAATACTTCCGCTTGTTTCGATGTCGATATATGCATTCTCTTGAACTAATTATCCTTTATAAAGTTTCGATTATTAATTTAATGCAAAAATTTTCCATATATTTGCTAAATTCAAATATTAACCAATTTCATTTGATGGGTAATATGGGTAGAATGACGTCCTTATAGGCATGTTTTGTAACTTAACCCATTTGCTAAATCCCCTAGTTTTATTAAGTAATGTCTCGACAACAAACAAAAACTCCGGAGCCAACTAGAATGGTAAGTCAAGCAAATAAAGTCTTTAAATGTCATTTTTACTATATTAACAGACTTCCCCACTTTAGAATACGGAACTTTTTACCTTAACTTATGGGTCCTTGGTTGCACAGATTGTCAAGGATTTTGAAACAGACGATGCAATCAATGAACAGTTAGACACTATGTCAGTTTGTTTATTATATTTGATAATTTATTTTAGTGGCTTCAATATCGGGGAGAAACTAGCTGAAGATTATGTGGCTAAAGGAAATTCTGGTCGGTGTGCCGATTTCAAGGAGACTGCTAACCAATTAGTCAATGGATTTAAGCTCTTTCTTGGCTTCGCTCCCACAGTTACTAAGCATAGTCCTGCTGGGGATGAATTTTCACTTATTATTGATTCCAATCCCCTTACTGAGTTTGTTGATCTTCCAGCTGATCATCCCAAGCTGCTTTATTCTAATGTCATCGCAGGAGCTATACGCGGAGCACTGCATAATGTACGAAACCTTTCATTCAAATGATATATTTTTTGCTTTTTATGAAGTTTTTTTTCTAATTACAGATGCAAATGGAAGTTGATGCTAGATTTGTTCAAGACCAACTTCTCGGTGATAAAGTCAACGAAATCCGCGTTAAATTCGTCCGTAGAATTAAAGAAGTTTTTGCAGGGGAGGACTAATTAATACCCTATCTTGTATTCTTCTATTTTCAAATAAATTTTTTTCTTTCCTATACTTCTCTTTCTGTCGTTTTCTTTAAATATTTTTTATGTTAATTTTGCCTGTTAATAGATGGTTTCAAGTAGTCAATCATCGTCTTCGAGTGGAAATACACTTGAACCTTGGCTTTTGAAAGCGCTTCGTCTTCTACATTCAAATAATCAAAATGACACTGCTCGCCTTCGCAAGATGTACAAAGATGCTTGTGAGAACGAGATGGGAATCACTCGTATAACCCTTGCGGACGCTCTGCGTTCAGAGCCTTTAGAAGAATCCGCCAATTTAGAACGAGGTTCAAGCCGCTCTCGTATCACAGCTCCGCCTTCTGTGGAAGTTGCGGGTCAAAATGAACCGTCTAGTTCAAAATTAGCCCCAAAGTTGATTAATTTATTCGATGTCCCATCAACTAAGCCTCGTGGTCCTATCCCACCGGCGAACAGTAAGCTGTTATAAAGTGTTCAAGTTTCCTTTCCATTTTATGGCCCCCCCCCTTGTACATTTCATGTTTGATTGTTCATTTATTCTGCTTGACCAGGACTACGGTTTAGGCAGTAGCGTTATGCAGCTTTCATTTTCTTACTTTCTTAGCTCGATGGTCATTCACGAAGGCGAAAGTTTTCTTTTGTGTGTCGTTTTGTCTTATGGAAATTTCGCTTTGAGGTTGAACTTAATGCTTATTTTGAATGATGAAATTACTTGTATTCGCAAAAACAGGTTAATACGCTTATCTTGAATTGATTGGGATTGTGGCGTAAATTTCATATTTAGTCCCAAAACTATCGGTTGATATATTAGGTTGGCAACTAAGTCATTGCCGATTTCAAATAAGAAGGCTAATTCGGAATTTTTGTTTAAACATATAACTTTGTTCAATTAGATATTGGCCGTTCTTGTCGATGACCTTTTTCCTTCGTTCTGGCAGAGTAAAATTCCCCGTTCGTAAAATGTCTGGTCTTTACTATTAAAAAACTGAATTAGGTGTGATCCGACATCATCCGCGTTGTTAAACATTTACCATTTAAAGAGTTTTGCATGGAACGAAACAAATGGTAATCCGAAGGCGCAAGGTGAGGGCTATATGGTGGGTGTGACAAAACATCCCAACCCAGTTCCAATAATGTTTGCCGAGTAACCAAAGATGTGTGGGGCCTTGCGTTATCATGATGGAAAACAACACCCTTCCGCCGATTTGATAATACCGGCCGCTTATCTTCAATTGCATCCTTCAGTTTTTCTTGTTGTTCAACATACACATTTGAATTTATCGTTTGGTTCTGCGGCATGAGTTCAAAATACAAAATTCCTTTGTGATCCCACCAGACTGACAGCATAATCTTTTTTGGGGGGTGAATCTCTGCTTTTGATACTGTTTGGGCTGGTTGATCTTGCTTCACCCATGATCTCTTGCGAGTAACANGTTTCAGTAGCGGCGAATCACAGATGCTAATCCGTTGCGTCAAATGAATTTCCTTTAACTGGTGAGGGATCCATAAATCAAGTTTCTTGACATAACCAAGGGTTATGTCAATTTGCTTTCAATGCATGTATGCGACACATTGAGCTTCTCTGTAATATTTCGTGTCGTGCTGTGACGATTTGAATCGATAATGGCCTTGATATGGGTTTCATCCACTTCGACTGGGCGGCCAGATCGTTGTGAATTGTTCAGTGAAAAATCACCGGAACGAAATCTTTCAAACCAATTTCGACACTGCCTTTCTTTTAAGGCTTCATCTCCATATACGGCACATAACTTCTTTTGTGCTTGCGATGCGTTCTTGCCTTTTCGGAAGTAATACAATAAAATGTGTCGGAAGTGCACGTCCTGTTCTTTCATTTTTAAATTGGGATAAAAACAAAACTAAAGAACTAAACAAAAAAAATTTTTACTAATTAACCTAGAAGTCCATACAGTAAGAAAAAATATAGGTTAGATGCTCTGGCCACGTTAACAAAACTAAATAAAGTATAGAGTTAATCTGTTACCAAAAACGGCAATGACTTAGTTTCCAAACCAATAGTTCAAGCCTTGCAGTTAGTTCAAATCAATTTATCTGTTGGTTAAGGTTTAGCTTGGCTCGTCTCTTAAATGTAGAATCCACACGTTGACTCATATCTTCGTGCTCCAATTGCCAAATTTTACTATTTCTGGTTTGTCGTTTGTTGAACTGGGGACGCAAAACCTGTCAACTCCCTTCAGTGTGTCATCTCTCAAATGACCTAACCCTGCACTGAGCTCTTATCCTTCCCAACCTCACTTATCTTTTTTCTCCTTTTGGCTATCTGATTTTGAAAAAAAATGGCATTTATTATCAGGTTTATCAATTTTACGCCCAATTCTCACCCTGTCGAACTTTTGGAGTATTTCTACTGACAGGATCTAATTTCGTGTAGTATTCTCGTATCTAAATCATTTCGTTTCGGTTTAACTATTTGATTTCAGGTATGGTGTGTTGTAACCGTGTACCACAAACAGATTTATCCCGCTGATTCGTTATATTTTAGCTTACGTTGGTTAGTCCGCGATTTTCATTTGCAAACGAAAATTCTTTTTTGTGCGATCTTACTATTTTACTGAGATTTTGTGTCAAAAATGCCGTCACCTCTCACCGGACGACCGTTTTACTCTTCTTGAGAGTTGCACCATTTCTTTAACTCGAATTACTCCTCTTGTATGCTTAATAGCTAATCGAATAATTATTGTGGTTTTACAATTTGATCCTTGTAGTTATCCCCGTTGTGGTTACGCAGGGGAAAGCAGTCATTTCGGATCAAACATCATCCGTTGTTTTGCCAACGCCGAGCATTGCCGGGAATGAATCGAATGTTAACTTGGGTTCTGTGGAAGATCTGGTGGCTGAGTGCTTATGCTGCGTTTGCGATCGAATGATTCCAGCATCGGATTCAAGTAGTGGGTAAGTTTTAGCTAATTTCACTTCTGCTGAATTCTTATAAGTAGTAAAGATTATGGAATGTAATTACAAGGAGTTGATGGAAAAAAACTATCATACCCTATATATTACTCGTTTCTAACTTGAAATGATTGATGTTTCACATGTCATATTTTTGATCGTCTCCTGATTGGATAGGAATTTTGTACCTTCTCTTTCATTTTGGGAAAGAACCACCCCCCCCCCCTCCCGAATAAAGCTCTTTTTTAACTTAATTAGATAAGCACGTTGCAGTTGCCGGGCGGTAGATGTTGAATCATGACCGTTTCTGCTATTTGTAACTTAATACTCTGTTCATCGTAGAAGCAGTAGGAAGGGGTCTATTCATGTATCGATTTAGTTACCTCTTTTCTGCTTTTGATGCAATGCTGAACTGACAATTCAAAATTTGCACGTACATCTGCAGTAATATGCTGCCGACCTTAAAGCTTGACTTGTGTAAACTCCGTCTTAGTTTCTCTTAACTTACCAGCAAAAGGTCAAACAAGTATATTTGAATGATTGTGCTAATAGCCTACGTGAGTGGACCGTCTTTTTTGGGTTTATTTACACAATTATTCCAATAACTTAAAATTGAAGGGAGTTTGATAACATCAGCGATTGGCGTTGATTTTGTGAGTTTGATCGTCTATTCCCCCTTCAAATGAACTTGATTTTCCTCTTTCTTTTTAGTAGTGAGAACGTTTCTAAGAATAACGGAATGGTTGAGTGCTCCAAGTGTCGAGCTCTCTATCATCAACTTTGTCATGACCCCCCCTTGCCGACTTTTCGAGTGCCATCTGGATGGATCTGTTCAAAATGTTCCGAAGGTGCCAATGCCCCCTCGCCTGCCTCCTCCTCTCTTCACACTAAGCGTCCCGAGACATCAAAGAAACCCTAACTTTGTTCATTCTGTGCATTCATTTTTATTTTTGTTTATTCATAATAAATTGTCCGATTGTTGTCTCATTTATTTTTACATAGATCCGCTTCTACGCATATGTCTCCTCAGATAGACACGTGGTGGTGTGTGCGAATGATTAAAATAAGGGGGTGAGGCGGATGTTTTAGCCTTTGAAGAAGCTAAGTATCGTTTTACGGGAACCATAGCCAGGCATTATGAGGATTCTACAGATGATGCAACGTAGAGACAAAGGACAATAAGGATTATGAGGATATGAATGATAGACATTGTATCAAATGACAGGCGTTTTGATAGTTATCATTAGCCCTTTAATTGACTTCAGACTTCACAGAGGGGAGGAACATCAAAATGAAAAAAAGTTGAGAGGGGGGAACAGAAGAGTATTTCAAAAATGATGTAGGAGACAGACACAAAGGTAGAAAAAGGTGAGGTGAGTACTGTGAAATAGTCGAATGTGACATACAGTGGGGTGATAATAGTTTGAAGTGAGGAGTCAACTGCCAGTTAATAGACTTTTTTTGCCGAATGAGTATACGTTGCCCAGGGTGCACCACGTGGAGGTAAGTCTGTCGCACACCCCAAGATGCAACGTAGAGACAAAGGACAATAAGGATTATAAGGATATAAATGATAGACATGGAGCTTACAAATCATTGAAGGGTGCAAATGTATGAAGAAGCGGCCATTCGATCCCCTCATCTCTAGCCTTTCCCCCACAACATGGGATCTGAAAAGTAATTTGCCTTGGTAACTGAATCCCTTCTTATTTCTGCTGTTTTTTTCGGTGTTAATCTGAATTTTCCACCTGCTCGCAAGTGCCTATTGGCATACGACGTTGTCTTTTAACGCCCAATTTATTTCTTTTTTGAACAAAAAATGTACCCAACCGCACTCACGCGCGTCTCACAGCAGCAGACTGATGCCGCCGACGCGATGAGTTTTGGTGGGGTATCAGGCGAAGACGGCTATAGACACGCGTTGAACATGCTTCAAACGACAATCGCGCCTTCTGTTACGAGTCTAGTACCAATGGAGCTTATTTTGAAAGAGGACCGCGTACTCTCCTGCAGGGCGTAAAAGGTTTAATGAAGTCTCCCCAAAAATAGTCTTTTTTAACATGTCAAGAATTTGCCACCTGTTTACGCTCCTCAGACGTGTTTAGTTGAGAAAAGTTCATACTTTCACATTCATACTGCCTTCCCGTAGTTTCCATTCCTAATTTGAGTTTGTAATCTGTAGAAGTTTCATGGATCGCTCTTATATATTGAGCGAATTGGTAACTTAATGTTATTAATTCGCATTAACTCATGCGTATTTATGCAATTTGGAAAAAAACTTTAATAAGTAGTAGGCCTATCAGCACAAGTTGTTAAGAACCCAGGTCTCAATTTACGTTCCCTAAAAGAGACGTGATTATGTCTCCAAACACTAGAAGTAAAAAAACTCTATCAGCTTCTTAGAGAGAGAAAAACAAAACAGTGGTCCTACAATGGATTCCTGGTCACTGTGGCATTAAAGGCAATGAGATTGCTGACACACTTGCTAAGAAGGGGACAACGATTTTGCAATGCATGGACCGGCCGATGTCTTTCCACACAATGAAAGCCTTAATCAGGAGAGAATTCAAGACCCCAAGGTGCAACGAATTTAAAGCTCGAACAAAGGAGAAACAGTGGTCAGTGGCACTCTCCGACATAGCCGACTGGCCAAGAATCGAAGCCGTTTGTGAGTTTAGACTGCATACCGGACACGATTGCTTGGCAAAACACCTTCGCATATTGGGAGTATACACCCAACCCACATTCCCCCTATGTAACCTACAGGAGAAAATGGTGAAGACCCACCTGATTCGGTGTCCAGCCCTAAAGACAACGACGGAAGCACAGTGATACTGGGAAACAAGAAGACAGCTAATGAACTGCTATATATGTACCCCCCCCCCTCCACCCATGTTGGAAGCTGAAGTCAAAGTTTAAGGGCTAATGTTAAATATCATCAAGCCTGCCATTTAAAAAAAATGTCTCCAAAGACTAATAGAAAGGAATAGCTATTCTCTTATGAGAAAACCAGTAGAGCGGTGGACACCACAAAGAAATGTGAGAAAGAAGGGAGATGAAGGATCTGCGGCTGATTGCCACACTAATAAGCCCTAACTTATACTCAGGAACCTCTTTGGCAAGTTCTTCTGGTTTGGTTTGGACCCCGGGATCAGCTACCCTGCTACAACGGTATAATGCAAATAGACATATGTGTCGTGCATCATGGTCATGAGGGCTGTAACACTGACATGGATCTTATTCAGCAAAATACAATGAAGGCTTTGTTAGGCATTGCAGGGATTATTGATTGGTGTAGCTGGCCGAGAGGTCTCTGCACTCAGGACTCACTCGCTTCCACGTAGAAATTTGCTCGTCCGCACCTTCGAGTCTGTGCGTATGAGCAGGAAATACCATTGCTCAGCCATGACAGCGTTGAAGACTCCACAGTTTTGAAAAAGGGAGAAATAAAGCTTAAGTGGAGAAGGCGTGAGGTGGGTTGTGGTATAAAGGCCAAATTACCATTCACTAAGTGGATTTGATCGTCTTCCTCACACACACGCACGCACGCACACATCGAATAAGTAACCAAAAAATAAGTAATCTGATAGGGTAATATGTGTGCTTGGAGCAGGTTACTACTCGCGTGAGTGCAACTGATGACCTTTGTAAGAAGGTTGCTTGCAATTTCCAGGGCAAATTATACGGAGATATTCCACAGTCAATTGCAGAGAAATGGCACCTCTGTGCTTGAAAAGGTAGAGAGAGAAGTGGATGAGAATGTCCCGAAGCTGGAAAAATCTTCCTTAACCTTCCAATTTGGATGCTTCCTAAAATCTTTTTTCCGTAAAACAGAAAATCAGAATGGCACGATGTCATATCCATCTTGTCTACAATCTTCGAATGGAATTGAGGAAGATTTTGCAATTTTGGGTCCTAAGCCTGTCTCTAAGATTCATTTACTCACAAACCTGTTTTTTTTGGACTCTTCAGATACAAAGAGATCTTAAGTACCTCCTTATGGAAAGTTATAGCTGAGGCAGATCGATTAAGATGCAGAGAAAGGCTTTGACTTTACATTGATCTCGCAAATCGATTCTTATCTCTAAAAGCCAATCTCCAATGAATTTGAGCATAAACTAGAGAAGTGAACACAATGAGCGCAATCGGTTAAATCACTGATCCTTGGGCCCAACGATAAAAGGGGCTTCCGATGCAAATTTCGTTGTTTTTTTTGAAGCCTATAAAGGGGGGATATTTGGAATGCCACATATCAAAATATGATCCTCAAGGTCACTTAGATAATCAACAATTTATTTTTGAAAAGCGTGGTGCACCCTGGGCAACGTATACTCATACGGCAAAAAGTCTATTAACTGGCAGTTGACTTCAGACTCCAAGCTACCATCACCCCACTGTATGTCAAATTCGACTACTTCAACCGTACTCACCTCACCTTTTTTCCAACTTTGTGTCGGTCTCTTTTACATCTTGGAAAC